TGCAGCTAAGCGAGCCCGAATTACGTGCGTTTCGTACACTAATCGGATCTTTTAGGGAAGCACCTCTCCTTCGATATTTTGATCCTTCAAGGAGGATTCGATTGGAGACGGATGCCTCGAATCTCGGCATGTCCGGAATTCTTTCCCAGCCAGACGATCATGACGTCTGGCACCCAGTGGCCTTTTGGTCGCGGAAGTTTACCGGAGCGGAGTTGAATTATTCGACTCCGGATCAGGAGCTTTTCGCCATCGTTCAGTCTTTTAAAAGCTGGCGACATTATCTAGAGGGTAGCCAGTATACCATCGAGGTGCTTACAGATCACTACAACCTGCAAACTTTTATGAAGCAACCCAGGTTGAACGGTAGACAGGCGCGATGGTGTATGGTGCTTACCCCCTTTGATATTGAGATTCGACATCGCTCGGGCAAATCCAACCCGGCAGATGGTCTATCTCGGCAGCCGAATTCAGAAAAGCCTGATTCAGTTAGCCTTCTTTCTATGATCCGAAGCAAATTCGCTAAGGTTCAGTTTCTTCAACGGGTCGCTCCCGAAACCCAATCAAGCGTGGACGTAGAGGGCCCGCTTAGCAGGCGAGATGCTGCTGAAACAGTGGATTGGTCTGTTTGGGAATCGTTAAGTTCTGCTTATTCTATTTCCCAAAGCGCATGTGTTTATGCTGCTCAGAACGAAAATGTTCTATCATCAAGTCCAAATTCGGATTTGAAGGCCCTTATTGCGAAGGCCCAGGGTGACGATCCTGAGACCAAGATGCGAAAGGATGCCGTTTTAGGAGAGATTCCTAACCGGATCGGGTGGGAGATTGATGCTGAAGGCCTTTTAAGGTATCGTAAGCGGCTCTTTATCCCTGATGGGGTTGTTCGTCAGAAGGTTCTTGAACTCTATCATGACGACCCCCACTCCGGACACTTCGGTCGAAATCGTACTGAAGAGCTTTTAAAGCGGAAATTCCATTGGTCAAAGATGAATCGAGATGTTATCGATTATGTCTCGTCATGCCCCGTGTGTCAAGGTGTAAAGGCCCTAAGGCATAAGCCTTATGGAGCACTTCAACCCTTACCACAGCCAAAAAGGCCATGGGCTGAGATCTCCATGGATTTCATCACAGGTTTTCCCCCTGTCCTTTACAAAAACGAGCGTGTTGATGCTATTTTAGTCATTGTCGATAGGTTTACGAAATACTGCATTTTCTTACCCGTCACGACTACGATTACCGCCGGAGAACTTGCCGAACTCGTCTACGAACATGTCGATTTGAAGTACGGATCCCCAGAGGGTATTGTCTCCGATCGAGGAAGCCTCTTTACCAGCAAATTTTGGTCGAGATTGTGCTATCATTCCCTCGTTAAGCTTCGGTTATCAACCGCTTATCACCCTCAAACTGATGGTCAAACCGAGCGTATGAATCAAACGCTCGAATACTATCTCCGCTGTTTTGTGGACCACTCGCAGCTTACGTGGCCAAATCTACTTCGAACCGCCCAGTTTGCGTGTAATAATGCCGTTAACGCGACTACCGGAGTATCACCGTTCATGGCGCTTATGGGGTATAGCCCTGAAATGCGTCTTCACCCTGATCTTGACGTCGAAGACAAAGACGCACCCTCAGCTCGAGACCGAATCCAAAAGCTCGCAGACCTCCGTAAATCGACAGAGGAAAGCTGGCGAAAGGCGAACGAATCAATGACGAAACACTATAACCAGAAGCACAAACCTATGGAGTTTAAGGTCGGCGATATGGTCAAATTGGCCGCCAAAAACCTCAAATTGAACCTTCTCTCCAAGAAGCTCAGCCCGAAATTCGTCGGGCCCTTTAAGGTCCTCGCCAAGGTTGGCAAACAGGCATACCGCCTTGGATTACCCGTCAAATACGAACGTTTACATAACGTCTTCCCGGTCACACTACTCGAACCTTGGTATGCCCGAGACGGCACCGAATCACCTTCGTTACCTGATCTACACGATGATGACGAATGGGAAATCGAGGAGCTTCGAGATGAAAAGATCATTGATAACGATATACACTTCCTAGTGAAGTGGAAAGGCTGGCCCTCGGAATACAACCAATGGGTCGCCGAAGACGATATGAACGCAAAACAGCTTATCACCAAATTCAGAAAGTCATCTAAGAAGAAGAAGTAAAACTTCACTTCTTTCTTCACTCACTTCTTCACCTATCCCTTTACTTACTTCTCCACTTATCCTTCACTATCCAACCTCGACTATATATACCGGTCGGGGCGACCGCCAATCGAGGGGGGATGCGTTGGACAACAAAGAAAATCAACAAAAATTTAAAAAAAAAAAAAAAAAACTGGATTCGAAACACAAAGGACATTCAGGCCGAATCCTAGGGCCTTAGCACAAATCCAAAAGTGCCTAGGCCCTGGGCTTCGAAGAAATAACCAAGACGAAGAAGATTTTGTGATCTTCTTCGAGGAAAGCGAGGTACAGAATCCGTTTCTGCTACATCACCTCGAAACCTAGCCGAATCCCTTCCGAATCAATACTCACAATAATACTCGGAAGCCTTATTACGGATAGTATCAGCGACTGCAGCGGTCATCTCGCCAGTTGCGAGACCCGCATTTGCAACATCCTGGAAGTAACTCCATATAGCAGTATTCCAAACCATATACCCATCCTCGTCAGGTTCAAGACGACAAAGGGTGTTCGGAAAGGTCACAGGACGAGCAATACGATCCTGCTGAACCCGAGCTTTATCACGACTGATCCGCTGATATTCCCACCAGGGTTCGCCTTCCCACTTCTTCGCGGAATCAAGGCCATTTTCCACACAATGGGCAGTAATCGTTTTCCGAAGGGCAGCGAGGAGATTCACCGACGCTTCGTGGGCTTCATCAGAAGATTCGGGTCCCCATGTGATCGCCGCGGGACCAGAGCCAACTACACCAACTGGAGCAGTAAGACCTGTACTCGGTGCTGCGCTGCCAGGGACAGAATTATCGACCCACTCGAGGATCTCAAAGAGAACCCATGATTCGTACAACATGCCGATTGGGACCTAGAAGTGAAGCAACCCCGAATTAGCTCCGAATCAGTACTGAATTGAGGATACTCACCACATGGCAAACCGCGTTCTTACCATTACAACCATCGCAATTCTGTGAAGCAACCGTACCCCAAGTACACTCTATATCCACCCGGGATCCGTCACCTGCGACAAAGGCTGTACCAGCCCGGCCAAAGCAGCCGATACAAGCAGTATACGACGCCCGGGTAGGTGATGCCCGAGGTGTCCTGTCACTTGGCAAGGGCATTAGTCCTGAAGATGAAGAAGATGACGATTCTGCTGGGAACAATGGTGGATAATAGGAGAGGAGCGAGGGTAATTCCTTACCTTTTCTATCTCTGCCCTGTCGGATATTCCCAGTAGAACAAAGACAAACCGCTCCTACTGTCAACAAAGGTTAAACTGAGGCTGAAACCTCAATATCAAAGAATCTCTCATTTGAGAATTTTACGCAGATTGCGTGATCGAAACCCCTTTGTTTTGCAGGCGACAGATGGTCGTATCGCCCTGCTTTCTTTGTGAAAACTGATGCGTGTTCTTTTCTACAAACACTTTCCTGTCAACTCTCGGTTCTGTCTTTGGTTCTGTATTTAGCAATTACTTGAAGGGTCTGGTCAACTGGGGCAGTTGCCCCTTAGAGGGGGGATAATTGTCACGAAACTGACAAGGAGTATCTGGAAGTTCTCTCATGTGACCTCAGCTGACCTTGCCGAGAGAGTGCGGGGTATAAAGCCCATCTCTCTCTTAGTACCTACGATTCCTTCAAGAATCAGTTTTGATACAAATCTGATTACTGCTTTTTTACAACCCATCTATTCTCCCTCTATCTTATCCATAAACCCTAACAAGATGCATTAAGTACCTTCTGTTATAAATATATATCTTTATCACTTCATTATTAATTCAAGGCAGAAATCTCATGATTAACAGACCGCGCCTAGAATAATAGAACTTTCATATAGCTCTATGGTAATTTAGTATATGCTAAATCAACTCCTTATGAATACAAGTCTATTTCTTAAAATTTCAAATGATTTATGAAAAGAAGGCATAGTGCTACGTTGTATAGACCAGACATGTGTAAAGAACGGTATATTATCTTGATGACTGAGCAGAGTTATGACAAGAATTATGCAAAAGTTGGGCTAAGTTGGGCCTGGTTGGGTTTTACTGGGGGCCCAGCGTTGGGTCCGGGTTGGGTCCGGGTTGGAGAAGTTCGGCCCGGACCCAGCCTGGGTTGGGCTTTGGGCCGAGTTCTTAGGCCCAAGTTGGGCTTTGCGGAAGTCTACTTAGAACCGTGATTTTTATTACCCTTCGCCGGCCAAGTTTACTAATTATTACTAGGTTGGCCAGGGGGACTATATGGACAACACCTATAGTGATACCGATATTCAGCTTATACGGAACTTATATAGTGACTCTAAGTACTCCTACTACTGTAAGTAAGATTCCCATACCTACTACACGTCCTATTTCACTCCCTGGCATTAGAAAATTAATCTAAGAGTACTATGCTGATTAATATTCATTCTAAAGGGGGACGAGAGAAGGTATTGTGTTGCAATGCGCTAAAGGAATAGGCTTTCTTACCCGTTTGTCTTATAGATATCTTTCCTACCCGACTACCCATAAACGACTACATCAAATATGATTTGTAGTTCCCTAAAGGAACGCCCAAAGGGAGTAACCTAACTAATTCGCCCTTTAGGTAGGTCCTCATCGATAGACCAGAGTCAGTTGTGACGAGCGCGAAAGTTAAGCGAGATAGAAGTAAGAGTGATCTAGAGTTCCTCGGCTGCCATAACATTAAGGGAGTAGAGCGATAGAATGGTAAGTTAATATAAGGTCCGTATATCAAATATTTGGAATACTGACTTAGGCGGAATCATTTAGTCCGGTTTATATGCACAAATAATGGTCTATAGTCTGATTATGAATATATGATGATGGATGGCGTCGCCGGTACGATCATTGAAATGCCTGATGGATGTGGTCCTATAACCTATGCGGTGGCCCACGAGGTATCCGTCTTAGAGGATCAAACGTTGCCGGATCATTTATCTTATCTTTTAAATGCGATGGTTAAAGAGTTGATATTCGATTATGACTTTGGCCTTGTGAAGCGCGACTTAGGCAAAATTTACTTCCGCGCCGACTATGTAAATATTGGTGGATACTGGGAGACTATGGTCGATAAGGCAAATTCTAAGCGGTCCCTAACGCGTCGCTTCTATAGCAGTGTAGATGGTGATTGGGGTGATAAGTTTGCCACTGTTCGCGAGAAAGGATCTAGTAAGGGAAGTTCTTTTAGCACGAAGTTTACCTAGTCTTTGTTTATAGGTCTGAAATCATATGGATCTTCTAAGTTATACGCAGATATCACTACTACTAGTAGTATCTCCGCTAGGGCAAAAATGGCTATGTCTGTCGTCGGCATAATTAGTCCATCGATTGATATTAAAGAAGTATATAGCTTCGTTAATACTAGTATCGACTCTAGTATGAACCTAGATATGTCTATATATGGCTCCTTCGATATTGACTATACTACGGAGCCCCTTTGGTCTAGCCTAAAGACTATGGATGAATATAGCTATATAGGTATTATCTTATTTTCCCCAATATTAATAGTAGATATCTCCTTAATAGCGAATATTAAACTAGCTAGAAATAATTCTACTGGTGTTTATGGTTACACTTCTACTAATATCTACTAGAGTTTCCTTTACGACTAGACTGCGGCATATCCTCTCCGCTGGATATCAGGTTCAATACCATATCCGCAAATTGAGGATAATGGATATTACTTCCATACCATATCCTCAATGAGGATATCCATGGATATCCGCGAGGATATGAGGATATTTTGCGGATATCCGCACTAGCATAACTCTCGCCTGATTATCTACTTAGGGGTAGTCATGTGCCTCTTATCCAGCTGATTAATTTATTTTTCAGAACAAAAGATACACAGGTTTGGTCCTGACCATACTACTAGCCTTATTTATCCTAATTCCTCATGAAATATTAAGAAATATATTTGTATTAAGCAATTTATATTCATTTTATTATTACTTATAGCAGCAATTTGATTTTTGAAGTAGATTGGGGGATATACATGATTTTTTGTAATTCCACTTTACTTTACCATGGAAATATATATTTACTCAAGGCAGTAGTGTAGGATCTTTTAGCTAAACGATGTACATATGACTAAACTCACCATTTCTTGGTCAAATTTAACTAGCCTAGCTTTAAATTAGTTTCCTAAGCCTATCTTTTAAGTATATTAAGTTTTTAAATATATCCTTCTAAGAAATACCGGTCGGAAGCTCTAATGTTGTGGACAGCGGATTTAGTGAGTATGATAGTAAGGTCGAGGATATCCAAGGATATCCATGCGGATATCCGCGATATATCCTCAATTATCCTCAATTATCCTCACTGGTGATTAGTAATAGCCAATCATCGTCATTGAAAGTAAGAGATATGTCGAAAACGCACCCCGCAACTTACGAGTTGCAGCTTATTGCCATGTCCCTGATATTTTCAGCTCGTCCTATATGTACGTTTCTCCCTTTCTTTCTCTTGTATAGTGATCAAGTACAATATGTCTTACTCACAGGCATCTCAGTCCCAATTTTCCTTCTGCGCCGATTCAGATCTAGGTCTGAATACCGACCTCCTTTATTCAGATGATATCTCTGAGCTCATTGGCAGTCAGGCTTCATTGACATCCACGTCCCGAATTTCATTTCCGATTGCGCCCCTCTCGCTTACGCGTGTTGGCCTCCCTCTTCAACAGTACTGGGTCCTCTATTCCTCCGAGCCTGGTAGCGAGATGGATGGATCTCGTAAGCGCTTTATAACGTGGTGGCTAAATACAGAGTCTGGATCAGCGCCCGAAATACAAGACTCGATCCGTTGGGATGGGAAAAAGACATCAAGTGTCTGGGATAATTTCAATCAGGTTGCACATGAGAAGACTGGCAAGCCAAAGGTTATGTGTACATCATGTCTCTGTACCCTTGTTCATCCAAGCTATCGCCGTGCTGGGTCATCGCCAATGAATGCACATATTAAGGCAGGCACTTGTACTCGGAAGCCAGTTACCCAGAGGATCGATCAGCTACTCAAACATATGGTATATTTCTCTTTCATCAAGACCCCTAATATCTCTCTTGCTAATCTTAATAACTATCCCAAAGCCAACTATCCCTAGACACCAACCCTTCTCCCAGGAGCGTCTGGTGAAAGCGATACTAGACTTCATTTCTACAGCTCACCTACCCTTCCGAATCGTTGAACACACCCAATTCAAAGATCTAGTAGAGATTATTCAACAAGCCCACAGCAAGATCGATATACCATCCGCGCGAAGCATACGACGTTATCTTGATTCTGCAGTCAGAAGTGACCAGAAGGGGGTTCTGAAAAGGCTTCCAGATGGGAGTCGCCTCTCACTAGCGCTTGATTGCTGGACATCGCCATTTCAGCAAGCTTTCATGGCCATCACAGGTTACTTCCTTGATCAGGACTGGAATTACTGTGAAGTTCTTCTTGGGTTTGAGCATCTTCATGGATCTCATACTGGTGAAAATCTGAGCAAGACCGTAATCCAGCTTCTAACTGATCATGGAATCACTGATCGTGTGTTATCTGTGACAACAGATAATGCAACGAATAACAATACCTTGATGATGAACATCCAAGAGACTATCCAGTCGCAAAGCCAATCAGATACCTTGATTTTCCGAGTTCCATGTATTGCGCATGTGATTCAATTAAGCTTGAATGAGCTTCTTGGGAAGCTAAAGGTGACACCACCTAACAAAGAGATTGAACTAGAGTGGTCTGATGAGCGGACCCATTCATTTCAGACCAAAAGATCTAGCTCAACTCGGCAAATTGCAGATACCTTAAAGAAGGCAAGTTCTATCTCCCTAAGGCTTGTAGTTTATTCTGATAAAAGAGTTTTAGATCCGAGGTCTTGCGGTCTTCATCAATGCAAGCCCACAACGCCGGGAGGCATTTATGGCTCTACAAACTAAGGAGCCTCGTTTAGTTCCTGTTCAAGATGTCCAAACCCGATGGAACTCGACCTTTATCATGCTGAATCGGGCCAAAAGGCTACAACCATTCTATGATCAGTATTGTATAGACCATCAGTATCTTCACTTCAAACTTGATCAAGAAGAGTGGCGACAGATTGAATACCTTCTTCTTCTCACAAAGCCTTTCTTCGACTTCACAAATATGTTGTCTAAGACTAAGGATGTTACTACACATAACATCTATAGTATTTACAACAAGCTTTTCTCTCATCTTGATGAAGCTGAGAGTAAGTTGAAGAATAAAGGTGTTGTCTGGAAGAAGCACATGCTCGAAGCTCTTCAGACTGCTAAACGGAAGCTCTCAAAGTACTACACTGCGACCGATTATGAATCATATGGTGATGTCTATGCACTCGCGACAATCCTTTGCCCATCAAAAAAACTTCGATATTTTGCATCATCAGACTGGCAAGGTGAAATTAACTATGTTGATCACTATCATGGAGTTCTTAAGCGAGAGTTTGATCGATATAAAGAGACACTTCACCATGATTCAAACAATACAGTCTTACAAGATACCACTAAAGAGGCCCTGGATGATGATTATGGTGATCTTGATGCTGCTTGTGCTTCTCAGAGCCAGCCACAGCATAGGCTCTCAAAGCCCGAAGATGATGAGATTGCGAGGTATCTTGCCCGCGGGATCGAGGGTCAGAAGCCTAGAGCATTCTGGAAAGACCATGAGCATGAGTTTCCTATTCTTGCGAGGATAGCACGGGATAATCTCTCAATCCCAGCTAGTGGCGCAGGCGTTGAGCGATTATTTAATTGCGCTCGCGATATGTGCCACTATCGTCGCGGGCAATTGAAACCAAGTACCATCCGAGGACTGATGCTTCATCAATTCGCCACTAACTTTGACGTTGAGCAGAAGGAGATAGAGGTTATCAAGGAGTATCTATCCATTGGAGAAGCTGCGTTGTTAGATCAAGCTTGGAAACCAATGCCCCAGCTTGAAACACTTGAGCCAATTAGTGATAACGAAGAGGAGGATCAAGAGCCTAGCATAGAGGATACACAACAGATAGAGAGCTGCGATGATGATTTGGGTAGTGGGAAGAATAATGATCAAAGTAAGCAACTGCAGCGCAAACGATCAAAGAAACGATCATCCGAATGTTTTGATGACGATGACGATGACCTTCCAGAAATGCCAATAGATGAGGGCATGCAGGGACGGTCGGGGCGAATTCGGAAGCAACCTAGGTTACCTGATGGATTTCAGATTGATTTAAGGTAGTTAGTATTAAGTATTGATTAGAAATGACAGAATCATGTTTACCAGATTGAAATCTTTAAAATGATGATTACACGAAGATTACTTCAAAAATACACAAGAAACCGCATAATTTATACACGCTCAAAAAAGTCACGAGGCTAGGCGTGTTTGGCTGGTTTGATATCCATTGGATATCCTCAAATATCCAGAGGATATTAGGTGGTATACCATATCCGCAAAATTGAGGATTGCGGATATTACGTGACATACCATATCCGCAATTTGCGGAGAGGATATGCGGATGTCCGTGGATATTGAGGATGTTGCCGCAGTCTAATCCCAACCATATTCTCAGGAACATCAAAACCATTCCTGTCCCGTGCTTAGCCCTATCCTCTACCTTATCTAATCTGGTAGGAACGTACCTTAATAACCACTTCTTTAATGTGCGCATCTTATCCTTTAGATCCACACTGGTCCGGATCGTCAGTCTAGGCGACGAGGACTGCTCATCGGCACGCTTCATCGTCGCCCATTGGCCCAGGTGTTCCTGGAAAAGGGCGACTAATCGCCCAATCTCTTCTGCACTCCATTTCACTGCTGCTTTACGACGATCCGGTATGTCCACTTTGCCTCGGATCCGCTTCTTCGTCGGCTGGGGACCATTCTCTCGCACCTTCCGTCGCATCTCCTCGAGTTTCCTCTGCTCTTCCGCGTGGCGAAGACCTTGATCCGCGGGTAATGACCTTAAAGAGCCGTCTGGAACTCCCCCGTCCCTTCGAGCTATGTCAGAAAATCTCGCCCCATTGACTTCACTAGGATCCGTGCGGTCGGGGCGCTGACTGCGGTCGGCTAGAGGCATCCTCGACTCCTGTTCTGCGTAGCGACGGGCCCGTTCACGGGTGATGGCCTCTTGCCTGAGATCGGCCCGTCTTTCGAGGTCGCGGAATTGGTCCGCGAGGGATCTTCCGACTAAGCTTGCCGGTCGAAGTGGAGGGCTCGATGCCCGCGACGAGCGTAAGAGAGAGTCTTGCCGAGACTCGGCCCGCGTGCTGGCCAGTTCTAGCGACGAATCCCAAAATTCATCTATAAAGGCCTGTACGTGGCCTGATTCCACGCCACCTCCACGATCCGTCATAGCTCTACTGCTTACTGGCTGAGGCCCTCGATAACGACCAAGGACCTTATCAGTGTCGTTAGCCGTCTCGCCTGTGAGGTCTATCGACTCTACCGAGGTCTGGCGACGCTGTAGCATCCATGTCGAAGCCTCTGACGGCTGCTTATCCTCATCTGGCTCCGGTGCGTGATTCAGCCAATCCACCAGTCGTTCAGATGACGGTCTACCTAAACAGTTGGCCTGGGTAGGAGCACTGCTGGCTTCGCTCGGGGTTGGTCGTTCGGGCACCCATGCTGAAATGCGTGGTTGTTTCATCGGGCGCTCTGGCTCAGGCGACGGCGAACTTTCTGTAATCCATTCTCGCTTATTCTGTGTCTCGCTACCGGCTGCGCTTGAAGTAAGTCGCTGGATCTCCGGCTCTGGTACCAAATTTGGCCGTCCTTCTATCGGGCGTTCAGGCTCTGGAGACGGCGTTCCCCAGACAATCCATCCTCGATTCTCCGGTGGGGGTCTCTCGGTCGGAATTGCACGTGGGGTCTGGGTGATCAACGACGCAACCAGCGTCTCTGGCGGTTGCTCGTCCTCGTCTTCGGAATCGGGGATCTCGATTATATCTCCGACTCTGCCCCCGTTGTTTCTCGCTTTGACAAATGCCCTTAGATTTTCGGCCCTTTTCGTTTCCGCTTTACTAGGGGCTCTTCGACGGATTTTCTTAGTCGGAGGTAGTTGACTGCTTGAATCAAAACTCGTAGACGAAGGAGTGGTTGTCATATTCGACACCGTAGAAGTGGAAGACGATGACGACGAAGTGGAGGTCATAGAGGTGGTGGAAGACGTAGAGCTCGTAGAGCTCGTAGTCGGGGCAGCGGCTGAAACCGAGCCAACCACGCAATAGCTCTGACCAACCACGAGAGTCGGGCAGGAAGCAGTTGGGTTAAGGGACTCAAAGGTCGCCAAGGTCAGACCCCATCCAGCGGCGAAGGATGTGCAGGTATCCCCGGAGCTCGCAGCGGTTTCGTAGTTACAAGTAACCGCACGGGGGGCCAAGGCCAACCCCAAGGCCAGATTCAGCTGAGCGATGAGGAGGAGACTAGTCTTGATTGAAGTCGGTGCCATTGCGATTGTTCCAAGGTTGATGCTTGCTTCACAACAGACGGGCGATATAGAGCGATTTTATACTGAGGCAGTTCGACTCATAGATTGCGACGGTCGGTTAAAAATGCCTTGGATATCCAGCGTGCAAACTCGACCGCCATTTCATGAGGCAGTATATTGCCCAGGTGTTAGGTTCCAATGTTTCATGTCACGCTACAGCGTATACTGCGCCCATTGGCGTCTCCAAAAGGAATAGACGGCGACATTTTGAATGAATTCTCAGAGATACACACTTAGACTTTAGCAGGCCCGTGGGCATGCCCGTGTGGACGGCCCGCGGGCCTGTCCAGGTGGACAAAAAGTGATTTGTCCATGGACAGGCCCGCCAAGAAAAGCCCGTAAGGCCCGTGAAAGTGGAGCTTATTTTTAGGCATAATTTATGAAAAATATGCTGTATTTTTAGTATTCTAGCTGTTAATTACCATAAATAAAATACATACTTTTACTACTAAGAGATAGGTTTTTGTGCACAAAAACCCAACTGCCTGAAATTTCAGGAGTCGATCATTTCTGTAGAAACCGGTAACCCTTATTGATCTGATAAAATTTAATAGACAAATTTCAATAAATAATAACTAAAAACACCTAATTAATTACATGAAAGCCAATTGGCTGGTCAGGGCGCTTCCGTACACGACCAGATGTGCGAGATGCGGGCAAATACCTATCATCCGCACTTTCATCCGAACTTTCTTCGGATGAAACCCCTCTTTTTCTCTTCGACCTCACACTCTCTCTCACATACTCTCTCTCACTCTCACTCTCTTCATTATCACTAATTTCACCCTTTTGCCCTTGAATCTCACCCTTTTCACCCTTTTCACTCTCTTCACCCTCTTCTAAAGATCGGATAAAAGCAAGCTCTGTCTCTTCTATCTCAAATTTGGTAGCACGACTATAGAGCATAAGATCTCTAATCGTACTAGCCTTCAGACGACCACGCCGATAGTGGCAGATATCACGTGCTGAGTTAAAAAGCCTTTCTACCCCAGCACCCGTAGCGGGGATAGAAAAGATATCACGTGCAATTTGCGCAAGAATTGGGTATTTGGTCTCATTTTCTTTCCAAAATTGTCGAGGATTCAGAAGGGTCATGCCTATAGACACAAATTATTAGCTTTTAGCCAAAAAGTGCTAAAAAGTGCTAAAAAGAAGCAAAAAAAGTAGTAAAAGTAGTAATAAGTGTAAATTACCTGATTGAAGATAGTGAGATAACTCATCTTGGACGAAAGGACTCTGCACTTCTGGGGTTAGTAAGCTTTCAAGCTCACTCTGCTGAAGTATGATAGAGGGTATACTAGTATGACTAGTAGATTTGCTTTGATAGTTTTTGATCCGATCTTTTAAGCTTATCTCATATTGACTAGCATAATCTTGATCTGACCAATCAGGGGTTTGAAAGAAGTGGAGCTTATGCTGAGGGGCAAGGATTGTCCCATGTGCATATAGGTTACCAAGCTCAGGGCTATCCGTCTGACTATAATAGTCAGAGAGCTTAGCCTTAGCTGCTTCTAGGGCTTGAAGCATATGCTGCTTCCATGGAATCTAAAGAGAAGATATCAGCTTTTTTGACTAAAAAGATCGGATGAATGAAAAAAAGACCGGATGAAACTTACCTTTTTCCGCTGCAGCTTCCGAATCGAAGCTTCCAGATGGGCAAACAGCTTATTGTAGATTTGGAAGACAGTATGGATAGTAATATCCTTTGTTTTGCACAGAACTGTGGTAAACTGGTAAAAAGGCTCTGTAATATACAGTAAATAGTCGATTTGCTGCCATTCGTCTGAAGAAAGCTTCATTTCAGTAAGCTCTGATATTAAGCAATACCGATCAAGCTCTGTCCGAACTCGCTTAGCTCGCTGTAGCATCAAAAAGGTCGAATTCCACCGAGTCCGGACGTCTTGAAGTAGAAATAAGCGTACTTTCGTTGGATCTTGAAGCCCTAAGAACGTGTCTCGTCGTTGTGGGCTTGCGTTGATATAGATAGCTAAATTCCGAGCTTTTTGAAGAGTTTTAGCTATACCCTCTATACCCCTTTTGCTGCGGGAGAGATCTTCAGACCAAATAAGGTCAATTGTATCATTCTCAGGGCCTGCTTTCATCTGTCCAAGCAGCTGCTTTAGGCTTAGCTGAATCACGTGGGCCATACAAGGATTTCTGATAAATGAGCATGTAGGGTATTCAGCTTGGAGAGATGTGACTAAAGTATGATTATTTGACGCGTTATCAGCTGTAATAGCTATAATTCGGTCTGATAAATCATATGCTTCAATAGTAGTTTGCACTACTTTTGCAAGGTTTTCACCTGAATGGGTCCCTAATAGGGGCTCAAACCCTAAAAGCACTTCTCTATACTCCCATGATTCGTCAAGAAAATAGCCTGTTATGGCGATAAATGCTTGCTGAAAGGGGGAGGTCCAACAATCGAGGCTAAGCGAGAGCTTCGAAGTAGGGGGTAGGGTATCGAGGATAGCTCTTTGTTGTGAAATTGTCGCTTTTTCTAACCAGCGTTGAATTGTCTGACCACAGGGGAAAGACAGGATAGAAGGTGCTGATTGGGTAAGCTGTAGAAGATTCTGGAAGTGTGGGCTTTCGATTAGGTGAAAAGGGAGGTTTAGACTAGTAAAAGTAGTCAAAAGCTGCTTTTTCCATAGATCGTCTGAGAAGGGTATGGTAGGATTGGTGGTTGGGGACCTTGGGGTCTATTATTAAATAGCTTATGAGCTTTTTGTCTGAAAAAAAGATAGGGTGAAAAGATGGGATAAGAAGAAAAAAGATCTATTTACCGCTTTCTGCATAAGATGCTGAATGCTAGGGCGCTTTACCCTTATTAGGCAGCTCTGTAAATGCCGCCGGACTGTATTTGTACCAGTTGCCTTCCAATTAGGGTGCACAAGTAAGGTATTACAGTGAATACACATAACCTTAGGTTCTCCAGTCTGTAGGCTAGCAACTTGCTGTAGACTTACCCAAATCTCAGAAGATTGACGTTTTCGGTCCCATTTCATTGAATTGCTAGCTGGTTTAGTCCCATACTGGGTTTTCAGCCACCAATCAACGAAATTTCGACTTTCTACCTTTGTCCAGATAGCATATTCAAAAGTTTGAAGTTTAATAGTCCGAATTGCTGGTGGGAGGGGTGGTGGTGGTAGTAGGGGGTATGGTAGCTGAACAGATGATATAGAATCAGATGGATCGATACCATCATAACTATCACTATAAAGTGATAATTGAGACATATGGGGTATATGTAAGGGGTAGGTAGGAGAGAAGAATAAGAGAATAATAAGAGAAGAGAGTAAAAGGGGTAAATTATACTAAGTGGGGCTAGTATTTGCTGAGAAAAATTGTCTAAGTCTAACAATTCGAACCTTTCATCCGAACTTTTATACTATTTCTAGCTATTTTTTATCAATTGAATAAAGAATATAGATAACAGGGGGTCTAATTCATTAGATTCTACTTTGAAATAGTTCAAAAACGCACTTTTGGGGTAAATTTAGTACTAAAGATGGTATGACCAGAAACATAGTGAGGGTATGCATGTACGAAATATATATCTTCATACCTTAGCAGGGTTATTAACCACTACTCTATAATATACCCTATACCCTTCCCTTATCTATTAAAAATAGCTGTTATACTAATAAAGATATATATTATCTATCCATAAACAGGGATATTTCATAAAAATACAATAGAGAAGATAGATAATAGGGTAGGTGGTATGTGTTTTGACGAAAACAGGGGTAAATAACAAAATTAATTTCGGATAAGTCATCAGATTATGCAAGAAAAATCAGGCAGAAACTAGCAAAATCAGGCCCCCACGGGCTTTTTTAGGCCCGTGGGCATGCCCGTCATGGACATGGACAAAGGCCCCCTGTCCATGGTGGACATGGACAAGGGGTCTCTGTCCATGGACAGGCCCGTGATAAAGCCTATACACACTGTCAGAAGCTCAGAGCACTCTTGGCGATGGGGCTAGCGTGGTGAGTGCGATGTCGGAGATTATTTTCGTCTGGTTCAGGTAAGCCTCGGAAGCTTTTGCGAAGCCTATTTAAAGTGGAGAATCCGTTGCGAAGCTTTGTAGCCGTGGAGGATCAAATTAGAACAACTTGGCAATTCGGAGATAGTGCACTGTAACCAGAAAAGCGGGCCCGGCCGCCCGGAGCCGCCTCCCGCATCAACAACATTATTATGGACCAGCATTCATACTCGGATACACGGATACACGGTCAAAACAGAGACCTAGAGAAGACAAAAAATAGGCATATGTGATGACTCTGCAAGAAGTTGATTCCGCTCATTGGTTGCTTTGAATAGGTACTAAGCTTAGCGTGATGGGTGTCACCTGATCCCTAGTCGTTTTGCCGATAATGCCTCCTACTGGACTGACAGGGGGGATCAATTGTTTGTCATAGAATTTGGTCGAGCTCGCTTAAAATTCAGGCCCACGGGGCCAGAAAACTGCTTTGACTCAGGTCGCTGCAACGTTGTTTTTAAAGCGTTGCAGCGCTACCATTGTTAGTGCATTGCTAGTGCATGCTTAGTGTGTTGGGGTGGCTAAACGAAGTCCCTGAAAGAATCAAAGAATCAAAGAATCCCCAGACCCTAAGACCCTTAGACCCTTGGACCCCGAAAACATTTTTCCAGCAGAGGCTCGGCACTGGAATTCCGAGGCTAACCTAGTCTGTGTACATCTCCGCGGGAGTGGGGGGCAATGTTAGACTGCCGGGAAAAAAGTAGTTCGAATGCTGGCAAAAGTCCACATCGTACCATCCCGATTGGGTTTCTTCGCAAAACATGGAATTTACTAGCAAGTTCTGAATTTGACTTGCCATTTGAATATTTGGAAAATTCGGACTCGGATTTATGGTATTACGCCCTGAAACAACTAGTATCGCAGTACTCAAAGTTGTATATTACCGTAAAAAGCATGTATTTCGTCCTAGAGTAGTAACTACTATCACCTGGGCATGATCCTACACAGGCGTGATTTTCCAATGTCCTGCTTCGGTCTACCTCCAGGGCTACTACTCTGAGTAGCAGTTTGATTCTTACATACTTATATAGAACAATATTAACCTGGGAGGCGGTTGCACCGTTACACAATACAGCAAAGGTGTTTATTCAAGGAGGGAAAGTACTAAACTCCAATATTAAGACTTAAGACTATTATATGGGTGGAAAGGCCAGTGGTCCTTTGCCAGATCAGGTTTGCAGTGCATATATCTCTCTCATCAGAAATAGGTCATTGTGGTCAGCGTGGCTAATACCATAAGCAGTACCGGTGCCGCTGCAATGCCAGATTGACCCGCAGTATTGCTTAAGGGCGTTGCAGACGGACAGGTAACATTGGGGTTTATCGGGCGCTGTTGAATCGAGCAAGCATAGCTGGTGGCCGATGCCATTAAGTTCGATTCAGCTGCCGAATCGATGGTGATAGCGCACGGGTTGGTAGTTGGAGTAGGCCCGAGGACGCCGCAAGTTGCTTCAATGGTAGTCGCGTTGAACGCATAGCCTTCTGTGGTGTTGCACGTTCCAGCAGATGTTGCGGCCACAAGATCGGGTGCTTTACCGGATTTGCTGGTGGTGAAGGTGACGTTGTTCGTCATCTGCAAGACGTTTGGCGTGTAACTCCCAGAAGTGCAATTGGAGACTTGCAGAGTCCATTGTAAATTCCAGGTGCCGTCAGGGAAGGAAAAGGTGTCGAGGAAACGGGTGACCAGAAGAGGGTAGCCAGGGAGGTCCAGCGTAGCCTTGTCAGGGTCAGTCGAGGCGTTCAACGTGCTCATCAAGGCCAGTTCAAGGGTCCCGCCTGGAATGGAGCCTGGAGCACTACTGTTGCCTCCTTCAAGAAGTGACCAATAAAGCAAGGCATTCAGCTGGACAGCCATACTCGGATTCTGAAGCGCAAACACCATGGGCATCAGCGGTGAGGGAGTGTAGGTTTCATTGCGTGGGTATATCAAGTCCACTTCAAAGACGCCAGAACTGGCAGTGGCAACAATCATCCAACCGGCTATCAGCGCGGCTTGGAGAAGTTTGAATTGCGAGCGCATAGTGCCGAGAAAGCTGAAATATGGAAAGAAATAGACAAATTGACGGCTAACGAGGCTCGGGATTCAGACGGTGAAGAAAAAGAAATGAAAAAAAGGAGACTTGAAGTGGAAAAGACAAAGAGGACCCCAAAGGGAAATTCGATTTCGTGGGGAAAACCGTACGGTACAGGAGACTGTATTATAATTTACGCTAGTACCAGCACGGCTCAGGTACACTTCCAACCTTGGAAGGGCAACGCCACGATCGTCAAGTTGCAACTCGGGTATTGAAGTCATTTCCCAAAGTCGTCGTAGTCTCCACGGCGGCATATTCAATTGCTAATGATTCATCTAGAGTCGCTTTTGGGGGCGAAAGCACACCTAACCCATGGGGGTAATTCCATTCTACTACGATGGAATTAGGGTGGACTTCTTTAGTATGGGGGAAAAAAAGTGGGTCGGGGTACGATGGAATATTATTTCAAGATAAGGATGGATTTACATTCTGGACTCGGACGGGGCTCAGATTTTGATATGTTTTTCGCCAGCCTCTAACCCATGGGGGTAACCGTAATGGACACCATTACAGTTAGGGTGAGATTCTTTAGTATGGGAGAAAAAAAGTGGGTCGGGGTACGATGGAATATTATTTCAAGATAAGGATGGATTTACATTCTGGACTCGGACGGGGCTCAGATTTTGATATGTTTTTCGCCAGCCTCTAACCCATGGGGGTAATTCCATTCTACTACGATGGAATTAGGGTGGACTTCTTTAGTATGGGGGAAAAAAAGTGGGTCGGGGTACGATGGAATATTATTTCAAGATAAGGATGGATTTACATTCTGGACTCGGACGGGGCTCAGATTTTGATATGTTTTTCGCCAGCCTTTATTACCTAACCCATGGGGGTAATTGTAATGGACACCATTACAATTAGGGTGAGATTCTTTAGTATGGGAGAAAAAAAGTGGGGCGGGGTCCATTACAATTAATTTTCCCGAGTCCGTTACAATTTTAATGCTTTATCGTACAGATCTCAAATTTTGATATGTTTTTCGTCACCCTCTACTTCATAGTCAAACCAAAATTCAGATCATTTCCAGCAGCAGAAATCGTTATTGCAGGGGTCAAGTACTCTGATCACACTCTTTTGTGCGAAACGCGCCCCACAGCTACAGCAGCCTGCACGCCTATTGGTGGACAGCAAATTAAGCGTCTCATTTCCACGGTTCGATTGAACCTTATTTCGACTTACGTACATCGTCGGTTGCCCGCTGCACGCTGAAAAAGCGTGGTTCTGCGGCCCGGGATGGCGAAAAAGTCAAAAAAGGGGCCGACCGCCCGGCCGACACCTCAAAACGTGGCAGACTGGCCCGATCCGCCAGCGATCGACAGCAGCCACGATCTACGCGCCACAGCAGCAAAAATACTAAAGACAGCTGTGCTATGGAAGTCTGCTACGGACGAAAACCGTGATATCCCCCCACCGCCAGCCAAGCTGCAGGGATTTTTCGACGCTGTGATCTCCCTGGCCAAGAGAATGACCGACAGCGAGCTGCTGGCGGAGCTGCAGCGCCTACGCGCAATCTTCGACGAACATGCCAGCAAGCAGGCCGACCTGTACCATAAATTGCAGGCGTCTATCGACACCCAGGCCGTCGCAGCTGCCGCCGCTGCAACTGCAACTGCCACTTCCGCCGGCCGCCGGCCAATGGATTACCGAGCTGCACTTCGTAGTAACACCGAATCCTCTCTCGTCTCCGGCTGGCTGAATAGAGCACACACCAACGGCACACTCTCCACCAACGGCCTCAGCACCGGTAGCGCCCCTGCGCCGCAGCGGGTGCTACGAGAGGACCTGCAGCTGATCATCCGTGGCACAGAACGCTCTCTGGTCGATCCGCTACGCCGACATGCGGAAGAAGTGGTCCACCGGGCCAATCGGACGATCAAAGACGTCTGTGACGAAGCTAAAATCGCCCCGGTTGTGGTGTCTACCGGCTTCGTGCTGCCCAGTGGCGACGTGCTTCTCCGTTGCGACAGCGTACGCGACGTCCGCCAGTTGACCGACCTCTGTAGCCCGCAAGACAACAGCTGGTGTGCCGTTTTTGGCCCGAAAGCACACCTAAAGCGAGAAACCTTCTCTGTGGTCATGCACGGCGTGCCAATTAGCTTCGACCCCTCAGCACCGGACGCAGCGACCCGCCTACGCGCCCAGAACGTCCGCCGCATCCCCTCGACCGCCAATATCATGCATATCGGCTGGCTCATGCCGGCCCGAAAGATGCAAGGCCTCCGGAAGCAAGCTACCGCCACCGGTAGCACCACCACCACCGCCAAGCTCGTAATCGAATTCGACGACCCGGACGCAGCAAATCAAGCGATTCTTCTCGGCCTGGCGCTGCAGGGGCGGGATCACGACTGCCAATTCTTCGACGGCAGCCACCGGCTGCAGCAGTGCTTCCAGTGCCAATCGTACGGTCATATCGCCCGTAATTGCAGAAGGGAGATCCGCTGCGCGTACTGTGCTGGATCTCACGACTCCAAGGAATGTGCACATGCCCGTAACCGCGCGTCTGCCAAGTGTGCTGTGTGTATCAGGCACAACGAAACCGCAGTTGAAGAAGCTAAGGTCAAAATTAACCACTTTGCCTTCGAACGAGAGTGCCCTCGGCGTGCCGAGCAGCTCGACATGATCCGTATCAACCGTCTCCGGGGCCCTCAGCTCCACCGGACGGCCACAGCCCCTACCCCATCAACGTCAACATCCCCAGCTGCCCCTACCCCCGCAGAAGCATACTCCGGCTCACAAATCGCCAAAGCGGCCCGTGAGCTAGTCAATAGCGCACAACAGGTGCTAGAGCCCGTACTACAGCCCGCAAGAAAGCTCGAGGTCAGGATCCAAGGCCGGTCCGCAAGCCCTAGTAAACGACGCCGGGCCCCGTCCTCGAGCTCAGAGAGTGAAGATGCCCCTTTGGTCCCCGCAAGCCGTATTCGGCCGAAAACCACCACAGTTAACCGGAAGCTAGTCACGTACGGCACCCCACGGCTAGTGCAGCCTATGCAAAAGCAGTGGGAAGGGCTCCACGCCCCGTCCTCGGATATGGTGGAGATCCTTACGCCGGACGTCACAACAGAGAATCTGGAAGATATCGGCACGCAAACCCGTGGACGCAGCAGGCGTACCGCCAGCGAGTCCTCGGACGAGCTCAGCCAAGAAGCCCCCACACAATCGCAGAGAACTGGCCCTATCACTCGAGGCGCAGCGAGCGCGCAATGATAAACCAAACGCTGAAAATCCTGCAGGCCAACTGCCGTAAATCGAACGATCCGGTCATGAAGCATCTCTTCGGTGAGGAAGGGGTGCGGAAGTGCGATATCCTGGCTATCCAAGAGCCTGAGATATTCAATTGGATGGAACCCGAGATGGGCGTCCATTCGCAGACACTTGGTGGCCGGTTTCATGCACTTCTCCGGCCTACACCCACAGCCGTCCGCGAGGAAGCAGCACGCACGCAGCCCCGTGTCTGCTTCTTCGTATCGAAAGGGATCAACCCGAAATCGTGGTCGATCAGACACCACAGCAGAGACGCCAGCACGCTGACCGTGGAAACCGGGGCCGGCCAGCTGCATGTGCATAATATATATCTTCCGGGGAAGTTCAACGACCCAGAGCGTACGCAGGAAGTGAAAGAAGGTTTAGCCGCGCTCTGTGTAGCCCTACGCGGCTACCACAGTGGGCAGCATGTCGCGGTTGGTGATTTCAACCTCCACCACCCGCTGTGGTCGACGATCCAGCAGGCCCAGCTGCCGGACGACGACGCAGACGACCTGATTCGCATAATGGGTGATTTTGGCCTAGATCTACTCACAGAGAAAGGCACAGTCACATTCGAAGGGCCTGTCTATGGCAATATTGTGCGTAGCACGATCGATTTAACGTGGACCGCGGCGTCTCTCGCGGACCGTGTGATTCGCTGCACTCCATGCCGCCAGTGGTGGTACGGAGCCGACCACGTGCCGATTCTCACTGAATTCGACGTCCGTACCTCGCCAGCAGGGGTTAGAGAGCGCCAGGACTGGCGGGCCACGGACTGGGAGGCCTGGTGTAAGGCCCTTGAGAGATATATCACGAAGGAAGGGTGGAGTATATCGGGTCCTGGCTGGGTGCTCGATATAGCTGAGAAAGTGGACGAAGCTGTGAAACGGGTGATGGACGCTGTATTAGCGGCATCAAAGGATACTGTCCCCGTACGGAAGATCCACCCAGGACACTCATATCCCACGTATACGCCCGCGCTCGCCCCGCTAAAGCAGCAGGTGCGCCGGGCACGCCGCACGTGGCAACAGACCCATAACGAGGACGATCATGAAGCTTTTCGGCAGCTGCGCCACCAGCTCGGCCGGGAAAGTAAGAAGATGGGTCGTCAGGCCCATAGAGAGAGAGTGGAGGAAGCTACTACGTCTATCGACGGATTCTGGCGGTTAGCAAAGTGGGCAAGGTCTCGGGGGGTCCCCAGATCTTCTCACACCCCCACACTCCGAGTTGGGGAACGCGAATTCACTACCACAGATGAGAAAGCAGCATGCTTTCGAATAGCGCTTTTCCCACCGGCCCCTACCGCGGATCTCTCTGATATCGATGGATACACGTATGCAGACGCTGTCCCCATGCCGCCTACCGTCTCTCCATCCGAAGTTGAACATGCTATTCGCAGGGCCACCCCGTACAACGCCCCAGGCCCGTCTGGCATCCCGAACGCCGTATGGAAGCACGGGTTGGACGTACCAGGATTCTCCACCTTTATCACGGCCATCTTCAACGCCTGCATTATCCTAGGCTACTGCCCACGGGCGTTCAGAGATAGTATAACAGTCGTGATCCGGAAGCCAGGCAAGCCAGATTACACTAATCTGAACGCATGGCGGCCGATCTCGCTGTTAGAAACCCTCGAAAAGGCACTCGAATCGATTATCGCTACACGCCTATCATACCTTGCAGAGGAGTATGGCCTACTGCCAGAAACGCATATCGGAGGGCGTGGCGGCCGTTCCTGTGACCATGCTATCCACATGCTGCTCGAAGCAGTATACGACGCATGGAGAAAGGACCGGCGGGTCGCTTCGCTTCTCACGTTAGACGGTAGCGGGGCCTTCGATAACGTCTCGCATATACGACTGATCCACTGTCTACGGAAGCGACGCATCCCGGAGATTATCACAAACTGGCTGATTAGCTTCTTATCAAATCGAAGCACAACCCTCTTACTGCAAGAAGGACGCTGTGCAAACGAACTGGTTGCTACCGGGATCCCACAAGGTTCACCACTATCACCAATTTTGTATCTTTTCTACAACTCAGACCTGATCGACGATATCCACGCAGCTGCTCCTGGCCGGGTGCTAGTGACAGGATATATCGACGATATCTGCATCCTTGTGTGGGGCGTTTCCCCTACTCGCAATTGTCTACTTCTCTCCGAACTACACGCTGTTGCTGAGACGTGGGCGAAACGGCACGCATCTAAGTTCTCTCCATCAAAATATGGTCTTATTCACTTCTGGAAGAGGGGTGCTGGCGCGCTGCCCCCGTACGGCGTCCAGCCACAGACCCCAGCCCTCACAGGCTCTGTCACGATTCAGGGCATCGAAATCAAGCCGGTGGCTTCTCTACGATACCTCGGGGTTATTCTTAACGAAAATCTCACAGCGCGTGACCACTTACTCCGCTGCCGTAAACGAGCCTATATATTTCTTCAAGTTTATGTTGAATATTGGTCAATCCACTAATAAATTTCTAATTTTGTAATTGACTGGTAATTAATAGAATGATAGGCGTAATAACTCCAAACTTCAAGAGATATTCAAAAATTCCCACTTTATAAAGCGATGAAATGGTAGAATTGCATGAACGGACCAGAACAGGCGTAAAAAACGGTCATTTGTTTTGATGATTCAGCTACTTTATGAGCGCCAAGACCAAGTAGTTATGCAAAAATGGGCTTTCGTGGGGGCCCAGTGGGGGCCCATGATGGGCCGGGGGTTGGGCTTTGCGGAAGTCTAGTGCTGATTCGAACATGTTTTGCCCATTTCCAGGTTTTTGGTGGTTTAGCGGGAAGGTGATGTTACCGCCCTTAGCTGCGACCGTGGCCGAGGTCCTGGTCGCCTGATTAGTCCCAGTCAGGCCTAGTTAAGGATGCATATCACCTTCCTGTAGTTCGTTTCCTCTCTTCCCTTTTCTCATCTCCCTTCCCACACACAATACATCCTGGTTTGCGTTCTCTCTCTGGACTCCTGGAATATATATTAACTTTCCATATTCCTCACAGTATTCAGATCTCTATCCGACCTCATAAAATCAGAATTCATAATGTCTCTTAAGGCCGGCACAGACGACAAGGGAAAAAGCGCACCCGAAGCAACGCCCAGCGCAAGGTGAGTCTGAAACCGTTGCATAACCGTCTCACTTTTCTTGGGGAAGGAAACTCTGACCTCTTAAATATTTAGTGTAATTCTCATCTCGTCAATAAATGAAGTTCTCCTACTCCAACGTACCAAGACTTCGTCATCTTTCCCCTCGGCCCACGTCTTTCCTGGAGGAAATCTCGATTTACAAGATGGAGAATGCCCGCCTCAGGGAGACCCCAAGCGACATGAGGACTCGATTGTTTACCGAAGAGCCGCGCTTAGAGAGCTTTTCGAAGAAACTGGCATTTTACTTGCGCGGGACAAAACATCTGGGAACATGATGATGATTGATGAGAATAAGAGAAATGAAGGAAGGAAGGCCATTCACAGCCAATCTATTTCATTTCTGGAATGGCTCAAGAAAGAGAACAACGGTCTTACCATGGAACCAGATACAGGTATATCTACAACTCTCTTTCTGTTCTTCTTCAGCATACTGATCATCTTGGAAGAAAATCTGATACCTTTCACGCGCTGGGTCACACCATACGGCGTCCCCCATCGGTATACAACACAAATGTATCTTTACTTTTTACCTATTCCGCATGACCATGAGCAAGGTCTAGACACAGAAATGCCAATTCATCCCTACCATGACGGAGGAGTCGAGATCACCGACGCTCGATTTCTGGAATCCTCTGAGTGGCTGCGGAAAGCCCGGGCGGGGCAAGTCAAGCTTCTTCCGCCTCAACATTTTCTCCTTTCTGTGGCATCGCAATTTCTGGATACCTGGACCCGCAGTCGTCAATCTCTAGTTGCTCTAAGGCGACAGCGACGAAAATTGCAGCAATTCTTGAACGCTGGATCTCCACCTTGGACGCACATCTGCATTTCACCCACAATTGAGAGGGTCTTATCTGATGGACGGGCGCTTGTGAGGCTAGATAAACCAGGGCCTGAGTTGGAGGGATCTGATCGGAGTGGAGTGAAGGACCGTGTTATGCTGGTCAAATTTGGCAAGGCAGGACCCAGCGATTTTGAGATCATATTGAAGGAAGATATTGATAAGAGCAAAATCTAATATAAAATGAGTGAAGACGGGCAGTTTCACCAGTCTGCTTTCATTTACCTCCTATAACAGAAACCATCCATGCGCCGCCATGGCTGATAGCACATACCCTCCCCGGGCCACTGCGCCAGCATCCAACCCCGAGGTATTTGCCGTTCACTGACATGTATGTCCCGACTAGACGATTATGCTGGACGCCTTCTTCTTCTCTCAGCAAGACTTCGTAGAGCGGCTGTTGAACCTGACGCTGTACCACGTAAGTTGTCTTGCCCTGGACCAACCCTGCGCTTCCAAGTCCTTGTAGCTTTTCGTTCCATTCTCCAGATGATAAATCATCCCCAAAGAGGATTCCTTCTCCCTTGCCTCCTCGCACAGGCTTGAGGATGTAATCGTCTTTAATTGATGACGACTCTTGACTTTGCTGGATGAAGCTCCTAAGCTCCGGTGACCCCGGAAGGATGGTTTGAACAATACCATGGCGAAGGACTTCGGCTTGGCGCTCGCTGAGAACATTGTACTTGTGTAGCAAGGAATCCAATTCCTGGTGGACAATCCCCAACATTCTCTTATCGTGGACCAAGAAGACTGATCTGAAATCGTTGAAACAACGATCCGAAATATGTTGAATCATTTGGTGCGATAGCACTCGAAGTTCATGTTGATGGAGTTCAAGTGCTACCTGGTTGATTTCTTCTAGAACTTCGCCTGTTGTTTCGTCGAGGAAGGTAGACGATTTCGGATGCTTTGTGTTTGTCGACAATGCTTTTTCAACATCAATCACGCTGCATAATTTGTATCCCGTCTTGGAAGATGGATTTGACACCAGTCGAAGGTCTTGCGGTGAAATTATTCTGGGAACAATTCCAGTTCGCCGCTCTGCACACTCCAGGAACATGAGAATATCGTGACCCCCTTCTGCACCTTTGAGAAGGTGTAATGGAAGCTCAGGATCAAAGAGCTCAAAAAGCCCATCAATGATCTACATCTCCATGCATTAATATATATACCACAGATATTATGATCATACTATTAACAGTAGCAAAAGTTAGATGACTCACCTCATCAGACTTTGCGGCTCCCAAGAAACCTTTATTTTCAGACCCCAGAGCCAGTAGCCCATCCTGCCCGTACGCAGTGATGAGAAAGCCATTGAATGCAAATCGAGCGTTGATTTCACAGATACGGAATTGCTCCTTCGTCTTTTCTGATCCATCTAACACAGGAACCTCCTCAATCAAAAAGTCCGGTCTCCAAGAGCCTTGGTGCGTTTTGAATGGACGAGATTCTGCCTCGTCCCTATTCAACCCATCGATCCACTACAACCAGTCAGTTTTTCGAACCTTTTCTCCATGTTCGTCAATCTCGGGGTTCTTGCACCACGAGCGGAAGAGAACTGACCTGTAGAAGACGCTCCTCATGTTCTTCTAATGGCATTCTTGTCGGGAATGCCGCCTCTTCGTCCTTCCACCACCTCTCCACAATATGGTTAATTGCGATCACCAGCGCTTCGTGAAGCTCCTTCAGACTATTTGTGTGCTGTGTGTTCATTCGCATGGGATGTGGGCAGCTTTGTAAATGCGCATCAAGTGGCCACCCAAATTGAGGACACGGTGCCTCAAGGCTTTTTATATTCACTTCTCGCTCTTGTTTCCTGGTGGATTCTTCTGCTTGCACTGGATACACAAGAAACTCCGAGACATCGCAGCTGTTGCTGCTCAGTGCAAGAGATATTTGACGCAGCCGATTTTGAATTTTTTCCCCCATCTTGTTCTTGCTTATATGCACCCCGAGATAAAAAGTATATTAAAGGCGCAAAATCAGTTCGGCTGGGTGGGTGAATTTGAAAGAGAACGAAAAGCCAAATGTATCAGAATGGAGTCAAAGATGAGCTATGTAATCTCCATAGGATCTTATCTCTAATCTAATTTAGTTATGGGGTTAAATGATGGATACCTGGGCAACGAAAAAGAAGTTGTTTTTATTTTATCATATTTGTTAGTATCTCGTTACGAGGTGTACATAGACGGTTTAAAATCTCTCTGTACTATTGTGCTAGCAAGCTGGCTAAAAAGATTTTTTCCTTGAGACCGGGGAATGCTGAACTATCAGCAAACACCGGTGGCCATGAACCCGAGGTTCAAGTGGAAGACTTCGATCGAGGGTACGGCCTAGTTACTCCACTTTAGGGGTTAATCCCCACCTCCCACGAACGCTCCGCTCCGTACAAGCCTGTCCTCGTTCAGTCAATCCTGTTCCATTAACCATGATTCTCTACACCGACTTTCATTGTGGCTACCCACTATCCCGCAAAAGGTTTGGCGTCCCAGCGAACTCTTCTTAAATGTCTCATCGGGTCCCACACGGTGCTCCTTCCATGAAGCCATCGTCGATTGTCGATCAAAACAATCGACCCACTCGGCAGTAATTCTGACGAAAGAGATACAGTGTGCGATATCGCTCCGGGGCTCCGCAGCACATTTTTCAGCTCCACAAGCGCTTGGCCCGCGCTTGTCGTCAGCGGCGTGATAATGTCTTCACGGAAACGTAACCCGCGCCCGGTATTGGTCAAAACACTGCCGATGATGAAACTTTGATTGCCTTTCTTGATGAACTCCGGTGGGACGTTAATACGGTATTCAGCCCTTGACAAGTATTTTCGCGCCGTGGCGGACAGTAAAGGCAGGAGCCGTGTCAGTTCCAGTACAGAAAGAGTGCCGCCTCCACAGGCATCGGCGTGGATAATTTGGAGGGCAAAATATTGTGGCGGGCATTCTTCATAACTGCAGTCTGTATGCCAGGGGAACGATTCGGCGGTCTCAGAGCGTGCTGGGACAATTTCTGGTAGCGATATCTGATGATCTGAACTTGATGGTGATGATATTTTTGCCGTGGGCTGTGGTCGTACATCCCAAAACCAACCTCGGGTTGAGCTATGTGTAATAGGTAGCCCATGGCCATGACTCGCGCTCAAGGACGAGATCAATTGCGTGAGATAAATGCTTGACTCATCGGGGAAATTTGAGTTTATCTTGAGAAATCCATGGCTCTGGAGTATCTCATGAACTTGACGAATATGCTTGGAGTTTTGGGAGCTTCTTAGTTCGCTGGCCTCAATCTCGTGAACCTGAGTTGAAAAGCCTGTGAATCATCGTTAAGCTGAGACCTTGTGGAATGGGCAGTAAAAAGTTTTGTACAACACGTACGAGCTGTGATCTTTGGAATACACCATGATGAAGCTTTGCGAAGACAAGAAAATGGCCTACATGCAAGTTTTGGCATGTCTTCTGTCGATTTCGATTGAATTCAAGCTGTT